CTGAGGGACAGAGCCCAGGACTGGCTGGCCTGCTGAGTAAACTCAGACTGTGACCCCAGGACTCCACTGCTGTACCCCAGGTCTCTGAACTGTGACTAGAGTGAGGCCAGAAGAGGACCAGCACTGTGAGGCCCCACACAAGAGCAGAGGACACTGTCCAAACACCAGGTTGACAGGAAGTGGGGGCTCAGCCCTCAGGAGGCAGCAGTGCCCACGCCAGCCTGGGGGAGCTGGCAGGAGAAAGGAAGGGACTGGCCTCTCTGGGGATGCAGCTGAGAGCTGAGCCTGGACCTTCCCGGGGTGGCCTCCTGGTAACCATCCAGCAGGGTGGGGAGAGGCTGGCCCCCACACCCACCATTAGCACCCAGCCGTACTGGTTGTCACTTTGGACTCCAGAGTCAGACCAACTGAGTTCAGACCCCGGTAACTCCCGTCGCCAGCTGGAGACCTTGGTTCTGAACTCTGTGCCTCAGGCTCCTCAGCACACAGCAAATACTCGGGGGACAGTGTGGGGGCCAACCCCAGAATGCACGTGCAGACCTTAGTGCTCTGTGCAGGCGCCCGCTGAAAACCCGGAGTGGTCATCGTCCCCTTTCCCAGCTCACTAGGCCTGCTCGGGATTCTGCACAGGGAGTTTCTTCCACCTCGAATGCCTTCGACACTCTCCACGGCTCATTCCTACTCATTTTCCTTGCCTCAGCTTCCATGTGACTTCCTCCAGGAAAACGTCTGTGAAGCCGCCTCCCCAAGACTGGGTAAGCTCCTCTATGCTCCTCATGCCCAGATGACCCCTCATTGGACTGATCTATGTTAAAACTCTTTACCCCTTCCTCAAATTCAAGTTGAACTAGTGAACAGATTCAGATCTGCTAATGATAAAAACATCCAAGTAAGTTGTCAAACCCTCTCCTGCTCAAGTGAGATACTCCTTGGTTCTGACTTTTTTTTCTCTTTTTTTTGGAGAGGGTTTTGCTATAGGGCGTGTGCACTCGCCAGACAGAGACAGAAAGCGAGAAATCACCCCCCAGAGGGGATGGTCATGCTGCAATCCCTTCTCCTCCATTCTCCTCTCGGGATCTTGGGCACGCACGCACATGCGCCTGGAGTGAGTTCAAGCCACCGGGTCCGGGACTCGAACCACGGTCGACTACGTGGGAGTCCAGCGACAAAGTCATTACACTAACTGCTGGTCCCCTGACTTTTTATTTAAAGCATTATTTTATTTAATTTTATTCATAATTATTATCACTTTTTCAATCTGACCAAATAAGAGAGAGAAAGAGAGAAAATGTGAAAAAGCCACCAGATCTGGGACTCACCGCAGACTACACTGTAGGACTAAGTCCTGTGCCTTAACCACTATGCCACCTGTCAGCCCCTCTGCTGAGCGGAGGGGACAACCAGAACCCGGGGTTTTCCAGCACGGAATATTCAGAAAGGAGGTGATTTGGGGGCATGGCCAGTAGGGCCCGACCTGGAAGAGCGAAGCCTCCCAGGGCCACCCCTTCGGCCTCCAGCACTCCGGATTTCGGTCCGGGTCACCCAGCCCCGCCCACCGCAGACCTGGCTCCTCCCAAGCCCCGCCCTCCCGCTGGGCACCTGGCAGCTCTGCGGCCTCTCCGACCCGACGTCGCGCACCGGCTCGTGCTCCCGCTCCGGCTCCTGCTCCGGGCTGTCGAGTGTCTG